CAATATAATTTGTTCAGTATTTCCAACAGCATTTTTTTTCCTTTCCAGAATTTTTATTCCATGGAAAAGTACATTCTGACTCACAGTGAAAAGACATTTTTGAATATCAAATTTTCCCAAGAAATGTAAACTGCATTTTAATCAATAGCACTGGTAAAGAAATACGAAAGGTTTTCACACTGAATAGCTTAAATGAGTGTCAGATACCGACACCACAGGCAAAAGCACTTAACAGTCAAGTTTTTACAAAAACAACTTTCAAATAAGAGAAATCTTACTGAATAAGACAGTCTGGGTTTGCAATCTTTTGTTTAAATGAAAAAGCAATCCGCTCTCTAGATCCCTGCTAATAACAAAATTTATTGTGAATCATGTGCAACATGTTTCAAGATAGAGTTTCTGTCACTGAGCTCCAGTGATTTATTCCTGCAGTTGCCACAGGTATCTAAGCTCAAGACCCAGAAGCAGCGAAATGAGAGAGATCAGAGTATGTCATAACCTTACCAAATAACACATTAATCCAAAATAAGGCAGGGTAATAAAAGATTCATGTCCAGCCAGAATTTGGGAACAGATAGTTCAGAAGCTATGAACGTCCACAGCTTCTGCTGCACCTTATGAAAACCAACAGAAAGTTGATAAAAGCTTTGCTTGATGAGGGCAACAGAAATGCAGTGATAAGGAATATAATTTGCAGGAACTAAACAGGCCCAACTTTGCCTTTTGGCGTGCTCACATCCAAGATGAAAGAACCGACATCCACCACCTCTGACTGGATTATAGTCTTCTCCCTTCTTGACGATGAGAAACCAGTGCCTGAGCAAAACGTGGGGGTGCAAGGTAAACTGGGAACACTAGGCAATAGCAAGAAGAACTGGCAAGGTGACTCTTGCAAGGACTGATACTTATCTACATCACCACACTAGATGGGCAGTTGCGTTACAGCACTGCGCTGCGCATCTTATCAAAATGGGAAATAACTTACACAGATACCACTTACAGTATTAACTGAACATTACAAAGAGAAAGAAAACTAAAATAGCATTCCCCCCAAAAAGCTCAATAAATCCACCAGAATTCAGTATATTAGAGACAGACACAGAGAAATACCTCAACAAACAAGCCTCCCAAGAGTGAGAGTACAATTTATTTTGTTTAGCATTTCCAAGGTTAATGGATGGTTTGCAGGGCTCTCCACAGGATATAAAGATTTCCCTTCACATGGCACTTGCTCTCAGTGACAACTGTGCATGAGCTATTACCATGTAATCACACTTTGGTCAGCCACACTCAAGTGAAAAAGCATCTGTTTTCACACACACAAAAAAGCCAGCAGCATTTTTTAAGGTGAGACCTCCTTAGTCTCAGCTGCAGACAGGGTAGGAATTAGCAGCAATTGTGAGACCCCTGTCTTACACCCACAAAAGCAATCTGCCCTTAAGGATCAGCACATGCACAGGAGCAGCAACTGTAGCATCTGCTAGCAAAGTCCTTATACGAGCTGGAGATATAAAACCCTTGGAGTGCAGCATAGTTTAAAGAAACAAGGTTTGGGAAGTACTTTAAGAGCCATCAACAGAAGATGCTTGAAGCATCAACTGCAAAAGTACATTAACATAGATACTACTACAATTTGAAAGTCTCCTGTCATCGCTGAAATATTTACTGCAACTCTTCATCGCGAATTCCCCTGACTCATTTTGTTTCGCCCAGTTCCTGAATTTCTATACTTAAGCTCAGAAATTAATGCAAGCAATTTGAATGCAGACAATACAGGAAAGCGTTGTGGGCTTTTTACAGTTGTTGACTCACACTTCTGCCTGTGCTCCCTGCCCAAGTAACAATTTAAGCAAAGAATTCACTGTTTTAAAATGGGTCAGCAATATAAAGGTTTTTCTTACCTCTCAATCTAAAAAGAATTTATCTAAAGTCACCAGTTGGAATCAAGACTTACCTCACAGATCATTTTCTGAACACAGATAAGAATAAAAATTCTTTTTCATCCAAAATTCCGTATTTTTCAGCAGACATCAATATCCAGCCCTCACAAGTTCTGCCACTGAAAATAAAATCCAAGAACAACTTTTATACTTGATCCCCTTTCCTTTGTTTCCTATGAACTGCAGCATGTTAGCGCCCTCTGAAAAATCAAAGAATTGCTTTCCCAGGTGATATGAAAGGCTCTTAACCATTTCCTGCCTGTGCCAGCAAGACTCCTCCCAACTTCTCTCCACTGTAATTCAAGCAATAAGGCACTAAAATAAGAGAAGCCCTTGGATGTTGACTTAGATATCTGTAAGAAGTGATAATGAACTTCCAAATAACTCCTTTGATAGTATTTGATCAAACTATTTCAACAGTGTCTCCAGCCATACGAAGAATAGCCTGTTCTCACCGTACCCAGCCACCTTAAAAAGGGAAGCTGCACAGTGTTATCCTATGAAGTAAATACAATTCCCTACCTGCCCTCTTCCTGTGGTGAGAGATGATGGGACAATAATGCCTGAACAGAACAAGCCTGAAAAGTGGGCAGCAGCCAAAATACTTGCCAGCAAAAAAAGATAAATGAACACATTTAAATAAAAAAAGGGATGGCCTCAGCCTGAAGTCAATGGAACAGACACCACAAGCTCCATGAGCTGCCAGGAGCACATTACCTCAAAGGCAATGGCAAAAATCAAGACTTTTTTTGACATTATTCAGCTTGTAAGTTTGGGGGCTTGGGGGGGGGGTGTTGACCCTCCATTTTCGGTATAGATCTACAGAAACTGAACTTCTAACAGGGTAGGGCTAAGCAAGGACAGCAGGCCAATTCTCACTTCTTAAGTTACAGTTATTCCAGGTTTACACAGAAAACCTTCAACATTTGGCTCAATTACATAACTTAAGAGCAGGTGGAAGAGCACAAAACTACTTCCTCTGCAAACAGACCTCAGTGCCATGCAGCTACAAAAAGAGACTGCAGTCAGCTTCATCCCCTAAAATTTAGGGTGTAAAACGGCACCTCAGCTCTCACACCTCTATCTCCTCACCTCCTTTCAGCACCTCCAGACCAAGGTCTGCTGCAGATTGTGTCCAGCCATGCAGCACAACACATTACTGCTGAATATGGTGCCCAGAACAGTTCTTTATACCAAAAATCAGGTTCAATTGAGCTGCATGAGCCCACAGATGCCAGAAATAAGGGAGGTCTCCCCACAAACAATGGCTCCCTGAGGAAACAGGGCCCATGCCCAGCACCCACTCCTCAATCTCCCCTGGCTGCAAGCCCAGGCAGGGCCCCCTGCAGCCCTCAGCCTAGGAGAGAAAAAACACCTTAATCTCCATCAGCTTTAGTCTCCTACTGCCTGCCGAGGCAGCCTCAGGGACAACACAGACCACAACATTCCCTCAGCC